TCTTAACATGTCTTTCTTAATTTCAGTCCATGTCTTAACATAATTATTTTGAAATATCATACAATTCATACTTATCATAGTAAGACCCAAGTATTTTACTTTTTTCTGAATCTCAAAACCAATTTTATCCATCAGTTTTATTTGATCTTCTAATTTCATGTTTTTGTTAACGTCTTTGTCTTCTGATTATTAATCTTGAAACCTGCTAATATACTGAAGTCTGTTAATTTTCCCATTAATGCTTCTACTCCCTCTAGTGGATCTTCTAAAATTAACACCAAGTCATCCGCAAATGCCCTTAACTTATATGTTTCTTTTTTAATCTTAATTCCCATAATTCTCTGATTTTGTCTTATATCTCTAGTCAATACCTCAAGAACCAAAATAAACAAAAGTGGGGACAGTGGACATCCTTGTCTTGTCTCTTTTTGAATCTCACAAGGTTTTGTTAGTTCTCCATTAACAATTATTTGTGCTTTCTGAGAAGTATAATTTGATCTTACCCATTTAATAAAATTATCTTCAAGGTTCATATGTTCCAGAACTCTAAACAAAAAAATCCAATTCAAATTGTCAAAGACCTTCTCTGCATTTAAGAATGTCAGTGCAGCTTGTTTTCCATTATGTTGCTCCAAGTATTCCAAAATATTCAAAACATTTCTAATATTATCTCGTAGTTGTCTTTTAGGTAAAAACCTGCACTGATCTTCATGAATAAAATCCTGTAAAATTATTTTCAACCTTTCAGCCAAAATCGTGGTAAACAGTTTGTAATCACTGTTCAGTGAAGATATTGGTCAGTTTATTGTTAAAGTCAAATCTTGTCCCTCTTTAGGTATTAATGTTATATTAGCCTCTTTCCAACTATCAGGAATCTTTCCATTCTGCAAAATAATGTTCATTGTTTGTTGTAAAGGTTGTAAAAACTCATCTTCAAAACATTTATAGTAAGAGGCCGGCAACCATCTGGACCAGGTACCTTTCCTGTTTTAATCTTTTTGATAGCTTCACACAGCTCCCTTATTGTTATAGGTCCATTCAAAGTTTGTCTCTGATTGTCTGTAATCTTCAGTAAATTCTGTTTGTGCAAGTATTCTGAGGAAACTTCTTGACCTTTATATAAGGTAGTATACTAATGATGAAAGACTTTTCACATATTCACATTATCTGTTATTACAATATTCCCGTCTTGTAACCTTAATATCATGTTCTTTTCTTTTTCTTTTTGCAATTTATATGCCAACCATCTCCCAGGTTTACTTGCAAATTCAAAATTTCTTTGTTTTGCATAGTTCATCTTTGTTTCCATTTCTCTCACTGTTAATATAGTTGCCTTTGTAAAAACTTAATTTGGTGAATTATAGTTGTCATCCCTGGAGATTTTTTTAATTCTTCTACCTTTTTTTAATCTCATCCAAAATCATTTGTATTTTCTCTTACCTATTCTTGTTAAATTCACTATTGCATTGTATAAAATATCCCCTTACAAAAGCTTTACTTGCATCCCAAGCCACCCTTACTTCTGTGCCTTTATTAATG